GGCAAAGGCGTGCAATTGCAGTGCCACGCAAGCCGATGACAAACGGCGTCAGGAAGCCAGTTAACGGAAGGGCTGATTTGCACCCATCGTGGGATTGGAGGGCTTATTTGCCACTTTTTTAATTCAGGGGCTTATCACTTGCTGTCGAAAAAGTTGAGGGGCTTAAGATGAGTTTTTGTCTCATAAAAATTTAACAGATAACATTATGTCATATAAAATTTATTTAAGACCTATTATGTTTTAATGATTTAATTGTGTGGGTCTCATTTTTTGTGACTTGAATTATTTTTAATCTTAAGTGGACATATGTTGATAATATGATAACAAAAGTACATTCTTTTAATCTCTTTGTTAGATGATAAAAGTACCTTTCTATTTTTTGTTTTTGAATTAGACTTTAATTTTCATATTAAGAAATTTATTTTTTTAAGTCAAGCCAAGTTGGTTTTTTGGCCCACTACCCGGCATTCTTTTTTCCAAGTAACATGGTAAGCAAAGAGGCCCTAAAACCTAAATAATTCCATTTCCATGGCAAGTTTGAGAAACAGAATCATGTCTACTTTCCCAATTACAGTTCTCCTTATAGCTGTGATGCTGGGAGGTTCTGCTGCTCAACTTAACCCCACTTTTCACGCTATCACATGCGCAAAGCAGGCTTAGCAAAGTGATGCTCGGATTGGTGCCAAGCTCATTCGCGTTCACTTTCACGATTGCATGGTCAATGTAAGTTACCATATCTTTGAATTCTGAATCCATCATCATGTCAAAAATAATGTGAGTGAATCCAAGATAAAAATTAAGCCTCCTTCGTTTTACGGAAAATGGGGTCTTGGCCCAAGAAAAAGAGATCCGCCTGTTTTCAAAAGGAGAAAAACAGCTTTCGAAAAAAAAAAACTTTGGAAGTTGATTTCTGGAAAATATAAACAACAAATTCCGTTGAGTCAAAATGATTTTTTTATTGATGTTTATTTTAATAAAAAACTGTGTTACAGTCATCACCATTCAAAGAGGGAGAGCCCTTTGATATTGGGTCCTCCCCTTTTCTTATCAAAAGTCTTAATGTTACAGTTCGTTACAGGAGGAATTGTAACACAGGATTCTGTTATTTTAAAGACCTACTAAACATTAAAAAATGTGGAAAATAATCTGAAGAAGTTGTTTTCCACGAACCGAACGAACCCTTAATAAAACAATCTTTATGTTATTTGCAGAAGTTACTTTGGTTTTTCCCCTTAGCACCAGCACTAAAGTAAGGAAATAATGTTCTCCACTACTACCATTCCTCCTATCACTCAATCTATCATGTGTGTGAAACTTGAAAATGAGGATCAAGCCATCAAGGAGACCTGTGCGCCCTTTGATACTTAAAAGAAAAGCAACAAGGAAAAAGAAACTGCTTCTGGAGGCATAATAAGCACATGAAATGAATCGAAATGCTCAAGGAATAGGATAGTAAGAAAGTTTCCTAACATGTATTACAGAAGAATTGTTAACCTGCCATTCAACAGAGCAGGAAAATTATACACTACTGGTAGATTGCTAATTCAAATTTTAAAATAAAGTGAAAATGTATATTGAAACTTGAGAAGAATAAGAGCATCAGAGTTTCTGAAATAAAAAGCCTGAAGAATTCAAGGTTTTCATCTTATTTCAAGAGCATGCTGCTTGTTCTTCATTCCTTAAAAACAAGATCGTGAAATTAAACATACATAACAAAGTGATGATGCCATAAAACAGAAAAAACCATAATTTATTACACACGAAGAGGGAATAGAAACAGTTGTCCTGAAGACGAGTAGTTGAGAAGGAAGCCTGGAATTTCACCTTACAAGAGAAGTGAAGTCCTGGAAATTCTGAAGATGCATCTTGAACCTGAAAGAATAACAATTAAAGGTGTTTACCACTGTTATTTTCCAATGGAGTAATGCAATTGAACAGTATGACTTAAAGTCACAAAGAAACATAAGGGTAAGACACACCTTCCTCTCCATGCTCCAAGGAAAAGAGGAATGGCTTCTAAAACTTCAACTTTCTTTGCAGTTGGCAGCATTCACTGTAACCACCAAAAAAAGTGCCGCCACAATCGAACGGACGTAGTCATTCAAGTTGATTAGGTAGACCTTTAGGTAATTGAACAGTAGGAAACAAACATGTTTCCAGGGACGATCTAACTTGAAAACCAGAACTCCCAAAAAGCCAAAAGCCATTCCAAGTTCCATACCAGAGTTAAACCCTTTCCAGAATTCATCTTAATAAACTAGGGCAGGAACAACAGTATTTGAATCTGGAAAATACTACATTTCATTATAAGCAGCATTACATCCATATACAACTGGAGTCCGCTACCAGAAAAGGGAAATAACAGGAAATACAGGAAACTGTATAATGCTAATCAATGCTAATCAATACAAAAATATTCTTTTGACCATTCGATCCATAATCACCGCCTTATACATCTTTCGTCTTGTTGATTGTATTTGACACCTCCATCTGTAGGTTTTTCATCACTGGGGCATGTTTGTGGCAAAGGAAGTAAGTCCACAGAGTGCAACACTACCATCAAATGCAGAAGCTGGAAGGCTCTGCAATTGGGTGCTGGATGGAATTCTCCCTGAAAAGTTGTTATGTGACAGGTCCAAGGTACTGAGGAAATGTAACTGGGACATGCATGAAGAAAGCCAGCCTAGAAGCCTGTTGTGTGAAAGATCAAGCGACTCTAGCTGTCCTATCTGCCCAATATCTAGTGAAATCCCTCCTGTCAAATTGTTTCTTAACAAATTCAATTGAACCAATTCAAAGAGGTTCCATATTTGCATTGGAATTTGCCCCATTAATTTGTTGCTTGAGAGATCAATAATCCTCAAAATTTTGAGATATTCATAATGATTTTTCTATTCCTTTCCACATGACTAATGCTTTGTCAACATAGAATCGTGCCATAGCAGAATTCACAAAATAATGATTTTCTTCCACAAAAGTGTTTTTTTTTTTTTGGCCAAGGCAGTTGGAATACCTACGCACCGTGGTATGTGTCGAAAGAGACTGTTATTAGAGAGGTCTAGCAGCAGAATATTAGTCAACTGGAATTTCTGCAAGGGGATCTCTCCGTAAAAATTATTGGATTTTAGGATGAGGGAATTTAATGAACTTAATCTTTCTTCAGTCTAGTTTGGTAATATTCTAGAGAACTTATTATAACACATGTCCACGAATCGCAAGTGACTGCAATTTCCTAGAGATCAAGGTATTTTCCCAGAAAAGCTGTTGTTTTGCAAATCAATTGTGTCAATCAAAGACAAGAAACTAACTGAGCTCAGAATTATTCCAAAGAAATGATTGTTAGCCAAATTCAAAACAGTTGGATTTCGCCAACGCATCAAACAATCAGAAAGCTCACCAGATAGCTGATCGTAGGAAAGATCAAGAAAGTTAAGTCTGATACCACCAGTAGTGGTACAAAGAGAAGAAATTGACCCAGAAAACCTATTTTTTGAGAGGTTTATGGATGTCGTATTAGTAGGAAATGGTGGTAATGGACCCTCAAAATTATTGCACTCAAGTCTATCCCAGGAAAACCAGAATAACTCGTTGGACCCTCAAAGGATTTTGGAATCCCTGTGTTGGGTTTTTTAAAGCAAAGAAAGAAAAAAAGGAGAGAACCGAGAGGAAGAAGATGAAGAGCAGAGCACATAAAATGGAGAGGAGTATATCACTCCAACTCAGAAATATCATTGATATTTT